TCCACTAACAATAAACTCGAAATTTTCAATACCACACTCGGCAAAGCCTCGTGCGGTATTGAAATTTCTCTTTCATTGTTAGTGAACTCTTGCAGGTAAATCCCGATAATTCACTCGCTGACTGCGTTAACCTTTTTCTACAGAGTTTTTCTACAGTCTAGAGGCCAAACAGAGTGCATGTTGTACTACTTCGCAATGTTGGAACAAGCTCGCTACCTTGTCGAGGGCCTAATACTTTTAAAATACACAAAGAATGTTTAATTAAGTAACACGACTAGACTCTTTTTTCTACCAATAGTATTGCTCAGCACTAAAACATTCTTACTATTAATATCCTTGACTGTAAGCGAGTCCAGGATACAAACTTAACCAATTAAAATCACTTTGATTCCATTTTAGGAGACCCAGAGTTTGAAAAGAAACATTCAAATATCAATCTTACAGACCGTTTTTTAATAATTAAATAAACTGGATACTTTTTTGATTGACAGATACATGCATGACAGTTGGTTTTCAGGTAGTACTGGATAGTGTTCTGTTAACTAATAATGGTCCAAAGCTAAAAATGTATTTTCCACTGGTATTCCAAGTAAATTAAGGACATTTTGTTTTCACTTCAATGCCTGCTGTACCCTTTATTGGATTGTCTATTCTGATTTTAAAATATAGGAGAATCTTTGTTGAGGTCATCGTAAATAAGGAATCATGCCAGGCACGAATTGGCTACAAACATTTCAAGAGCTTGTGAAACTTAGCAATGAATGACATGTTTGGCTCTTTGGGTGAAAAATTCGAGGAGAAATTGGCTTTCAAAGACTACAAAATGTCTGGGTGGCAAAAGCGCTAATGAGCTCATACATTCTTTGTAAAATTTTGAGTTTTTAAACCCGCCTCGCGCAAAAAAGTATTCAATACATCGGGCTCAAATTCGTTGAGACAGTTAATCGTACTGTGTGCCCTTTCAATATTCAGAACTCATGTTTTTGTAGCTCCGTTAGAAACTGTATCACTTATGCTAATGAGGCAAATATCGTAAACAAAGATTCTCCTTTTCAGCAAGTAGCAGAAAGTACTACTAGTAGAAAACCGACCAATCAGAGCATGCGAGTATTCACGGTTCCTACACAGTTTTAGATCTGCCATATTCCTTGTTTGATTTGCTTGTAAAGCATTTTAATATAAAAGTATCCCAAGAAAATTGACGAATGTCACATGATCAAATGCAAATTTTACAAGATTGGTAACGCTATATAGAGAAATG